CAAACATATGGAAGGAATCTGTTCGAGACTGCATTTGTCTTTTGCCGAAGCTCAGACTCTGGCACAGGATTGGGAACGTTGGAAGCACTGTGTGTCGCGTCTGCCTCCGCGACCCGAAAGGAGAAGCGGCGATGGAAGATGAAGAAGATGAAGATGTGAAAAACATGAGAAGAAATGCCTTCTCTGCCACGTCATTGAAGATGACCTGACGTTGCAATGATGACCTGAAGTGTTTAAACGACCCTGACGTTGACAAGAAAAGAGCATATCGCTTTCTCGTTAAAGAAGTCAACAGGAGCTACCGCGACGATAGGCAACGACGGCTGGGCATTGAAGCGTACAAGCTGGACAACAGAACGGCCACAGATGACTGTTAGCTGCTGTAGGACCTGGTTAGAAGCGGTGGCAAACAAATGCCTACCCCCCTCTGTTATACAACAAATTAGACGAGCCGAGGCAAGCGAGTAATAGCCGTCGGAAACGATAGGCCGAAAATTCTGCAGTGCTCCTCGGTAGGCCTGCATCTTTAGAAAATCTTTAAATGGAAGAACAGTTTGGAAATGATCTAGATGTTGACCGCGTTCCACCAACGATTGATGAAATCTGGGAACAGATGCGACACTGATTTAGCAAGAAGTCCTGGGGCACGACAGGAACAGGACAATTTTTAAGTGCAGAGGTGAAAACCTTCTCCACTGCATCCAGATGGCTTCTGATCGCATCTGGCGAGTCAGTGGTACACGAACTGGAAGAAAAGCGTGATAATCCGGATCTACACGAGTGGGATTCGCCTCCAATCGAGGAATCACCCCTCACTGATGCTCGAGAGGGTCCGAAAAGGAGGATCATTGCCGGATGGCTTCAATGTCATTAGTGGAATATGTCAGTGCACTTAACATCATGGTGGACTATGCTGTGCAGCAGTGCGTCGTCCCAAAGAACAACGAGGGACTAACAGTTAGTTGGCGATGCAATCTGGTATATCGGCGATATTCTCAAGGTACCTTCGGTATGTCTATGAAGTCATGTTGGTCAGCGCCTCCGCAAATGGCCTGCTGACTCTCACGTATAAAATGCGCAACACCACTATGGGAACTGAGGTACCAGTGAACGTCAAAAACACGATTATGAGAGCGCCGTGACCGAGAGTCAAAGAAGATTATGAAATGGTATTACGATGGACGAGGGAAAGGGGCAGTTCCAGTTCCTTGCAACTACATGGTCACAACAATAGCGACAATGATACTGAATCGTGCTAACTGGAATTGCATTTAGGCGAATGTCGGCAAGTTGTATGATATATGGAAAAACTTAACTATCACAACGGACAGGAAGATCGCCATCTTGAAAGCAAGCCCGTTCGCGGCGCTCATATACTGTCAAGAAAAAAGGACTGTTATTTTGAACTGTCATAAAGCTCTTCTGTACAGATTCCAACAATTCTGAATGCGCAATGTCCCCAAAGTTCGATGGTAGTATCGGTCACGTGAGAGAAGATGTTGTCGGCCAATGGTTTAAAAAAACTATAAGCTGAACTCAGACAGCTGCGCCTAGCTTGGTTTGCTACAATGAGCCTAAAAGAGAATGGAATTTTTTTCAAAAATTTTCGCACGTGTAAATCGTTAAATGGTCGTAGACGCGTTGGATGTTAATACAAAATGTGATAACACTGTTGAGGCAAACCTACTGGCGAGGAGGAATATGGCCCTAGCCACTGCAATAAATGCTGCCAAACATTAATCTGAGACACCAATTCAAAAGGTAAGATATCATAAATGTGCATTACTCTGCTGTTGAAGCTATGCTATCCCATGATGACGATGATAAACAAATAACCTCTGGACCTAGCAAAAGTTACCCAACAGCATTTCTAACGAATCTCGAGCATGCCGCTGACATCTCATTGTTGACCGACTCGGAAAAGAGCATGTCGATACTCAGAGCGTGTAATATATGGGTATAGAGGTAGGACGACAAGTCAATGCAAAGAAAACAGGGCATGATAAGGCACGCCACGACCGACCCCTGCGACTAAAGACGCTACCTGTGATCTAGAAATAACTGGATATACTAGGTGAATTTCCTCAACCTGCATGAAATATTAAATAGTTAAATTGTTAAAGGAACAGAAGGACAATCATATCGAAGGCACCCGTATTCGCAGAGTTCATGGGCAACCTGTAAACATCAGTTGTCGAAAAGCGCCATGAGGTTAACCTCGATGGATCTCAGCAAAGCTAGCAGAGAAATTTCTCCAACATTGTACGGTAAACAAAGCTGCATTGCTCCCAGCATCTATGCTGACGCGCTGCCGGTTTACTTTATCATTTACAAATATATCATATTTCTACAGATGCCGTACATGGGCACAAACAGCTAGGGTGGCCTGATATAAAAAGGCATAGGTTGGCGCTGAAATTTAAATCAACTTAAACCAATAAAATTTGTTCTTTGTCAATACCAGGGGTCATGAGCAAACTCGTGTCAGAGAAAACGATCTAAATACTGAATCCGATGGCCTGCATGATTTAATACAAGAACGCAAATCAGTATGACACTTGTTTTTCGTTGTGACTGTGTATCGGCAGCAGACGCGCTGAAAGATAATCCAAAGCATCGACATCCTGCGGCAATGAGGAATAAGATGTTCACCCAAGCAACCACTGCTGCCAAGTGAGATGTTAATTCACACGGCTATAAATCATCAATCCAGGCTACTTCTCAGTTCAAACTGCGCCAATTTTAAATGACAACGACAGCAATCATACTGACGAATGACAATCTTGCACAGCAAAAATATCGCTCATGAGATAGTTAATTAGTTACACAATCAGTGTAAAAGTTTTAAAATTCTATTCGATCCTTAGCTGAGAATAGAAAAAAAGTATCACTGAAAAGGGCTGAGATTCACTGGATTTAATCTCAAAGTCATAATCTGTTGTAGAATAACACTCCTGCGTGACAGCTTGTGTCTGATTTGAAAATTACCACCTGTTTTTTCGATTAATCAGCAGAAGTAGGCAATGGGATTTACACAGGTAAAGAAGAAGAAAAAGCGTTAAAGACTATCGTATAAGCAAGAAGTAGTACTTGTTTTCCGCTTGTTCGGCAGCGAAGACAACATCGGCATCAAACGTGACCGTCATGTGATCGTTGATTTCTGCCTAAAACAGAAAAGCGCCATATCGCCATCAGGAAAGCAGCGCTAGAGAAAAACAAAGCAAAATAACGATACTGTGAAAAACAACACAAAATGTGTACATTTGTACACTGTGGAAAAATCCTACCTCAATACAATGAAGTGATGACCCTGACATCCTGAGAGTTTCGACAGAAAAGTGCGTTTTCCGACCAGTTTAATCATGCTTTCAAGGTGTCAGGATGCCAAAAAAGAGGTCATCCCCTGCGACCGGAAGTCAATCAAATTCTAAGACAGCAGGCCACTGAAAAAACAAACCAGTGGGTGGCGAAACCAGAACGTAAAAATTGGTATCGGCGGGAATCGATCCCCAATGCGCCGGCGGTGCAGAATTTTACTGACGAGAGGCCGCCAAGAATCTCTCTTGTCAGGACGCTGAGAAGAAAACGAGCAATCTTTTTTCCCTCCGGTTACCTGCAACTGCAGTACACTAGAGGGAAGAACCGATTAGTCGTTAAACATAAGGAAAGCCCAATGCAACATGTAACGCTTTCTGTCGTTATGAAACCCGAAACAACAGATTTAGAAGTGACATGGATGGATGGAAGAATGGGAAGAAGGCGTGAAAACCGTAGGAGTAATCGGCTTAATCGTCCGTAAAATGGCCTTCAAGTATCAATTCCATTGAGTAAACATGCTTCCGAACGCTTTCTTAATAACTGAACAGCAACGGTCAAGATCATCCAAATTTTTACAAGCGAGCTCCCACAAGCACAAGCGAAGAATGCGATGTCGATGAATTCGATTAAGAGCTAGAGGAAAATATGACTTTTGTTACGGGAGATTTCAACCGGCGGAAAATTCGATTTTAGACACGGCAGTGGGTGGACTAACGGAGCTTATGAAGAGAAAATGGCAATATTGGCGGAGACGAGGAAAATACATGTGAGTAACACCTGGTTCAAATGGACAGAGATCAACCAAGAATGAGATTGATTAAATACTACTGAAAAGAGTCGCAGCATCCCAGGCATCTTAACAGTGCCATTCCTCAACAATGCGAATGAGCATCGCCTATTCAAGGCGAAAGCCGACCTCAAAAACTAGAAAAGAAAGCATAACGTGAAGAGGAAGGCAAAAAACATGTCGATATATGCTCAATAAAAAAATTTTGAGAAAAAAATTAGTAAGGTATTATCAACACTATTTTAGGAAATATTGTAGAATTTATCTGCAAAACAATTCCAATCATTACAAAGGAAAGATGGCTAATCATCATTAATGAAAACCCTGACTTAGTAATTTAGCTACGCATGAGTGTCAATAAAATGAAACTGATGCTGACACGGTAACTGGAAATTTAACTCAATGTATAAAGCTTTAATAATGATTTTTCAAGAATCTACGACAAGCATGACTACGTTCGGCGAGACCAGACGTTTCCTGTTAAGTGCAATAAAATGCATCCGCATCTTTCTCTGAAACATATTCCAAAATCGTTGTGCGACTTACGAGCTAGGAAACACGGCAATGATTTATAACATATTCCGTGCTGACGTTCATATCAAACGGGACGTCTTCAGGGCAAAATAGTGTTGGTATTTAGTCTGCATTGTGATCGCGTGCTGCAACTCGTAAACTACCAACTCTAGGGCATGCTTCCATGTTGCAATACTAATCGGGGAGGCACAAATAGGTTTATCTAATTTCAGCACAGTTCGCATTCCTTGTCTTGTCCACAGGGTCATATAGCTCAGGCGTATTCCAACATAGCCTGTTTTTTAATATCTCGAATTTAATTCGACTCATCTTTATAAATTTCAATTTCTTCACCCTTAGCAGCAGCCTTTTCCAGTCTACTGCAACACGAAGGTCTCTCCAGCAGGCTGCCAAAAAGATGTTTTCTGCTTTCTCTCCATCCTGATTCAACAAACTTTATCAACTCATCTTGCCATCGATTTGTAAGTCTTCCCGCGGATCGTTTACCGTTTCTTGTACCGCTGTGTAATATTCCATTGTTGCAACCATGGACGGGTCTTCTGACAAAGCTTACTGACATTTCAACTACTTCATTCGTACAATGACATCGCAAACTCCTGTTTATGCTGTTACCCGTTCGTTTATCTTCCTCCAGTGGACCGTACTCACATGTAGCAGTAGGTAGCACCATAATGGCATCAATAATGAAAATCCTGCTGACATGGTAGTGAATTAAAATTTCAATTTACCGGCGTTATATCACCTCAAATCAAATCACAGAAACGATGTTATAGGCTAAACCAACGAAACGATGTTTCGAAACGATGTTATAGGCTAAATGTTATATAGGCTAAACCAACGAAACGGCTAAACCAACGAAACGAAACGAACGAAACCAACCAACGAAACGATGTTATAGGCTAAACCAACGATGCTTGCTGAAACATGCCGCTGGCGTGCAGGGTGCAGCTCTATCGAAAAAAATGATTGAAAACGCACTACAAATATTACTGTACTAGTTAACTTTTTACTGCTTTAAGCAGCTACTTACGATGTACAGGAACCACAGGATGCTGTCATAATGCAAATTATGCTATGTTTGAATTCTGCATCACCGTTTGAAGCTTTACTGGTGTTACATATGTGTGCATATACGTATGCGTATATGTATGTATTTATGAACAGTCACATAAGAAAAATAGACATCTTCTGAAGAAGATTCTGACGTACGGAATGCGTGGGTACTGCATTACTGTCTGATTAGAAAATAATTTCCCTTCATTACAGTAAAATCGCGCTGTATGCTATTTCCCTGTATGAAGACCAATCCAAGAACAAAGCACTCAATAATAGAGAAATCATCAAAAGTGCATTTAGTCATTTATCAAAATAGATTGAACATCTCAAAAGCAGAAACATGAATATCGATTCGGTACTTAATTGAGGCAATCAGCACAGTGTGGCCTATACGAAGCATGTTTCGATGAATACGTTATCAAATTAAGAAAAAAATTTTCGCACGGACGAATCTGTTTCGTACTTAAAAATAATCTCCCTATAGTCGTCATACCAAGCAATGGCTTTCATGCAACAAGGTCGAGAAATTCTTCATTTTAGCACTGATAAACGAAATCTTTAAAAAGCATACTTTTTTTGAACTTCAGAAATACGAATACAAGTACGTAACCAGAAATCAACGTATACTATTCAAGGAAACCGACCACTACTAACAACGACATTATGGTCGCAAAAGTATGTTGCGACAAGCAAAATATGACGCTAGTCAGAGACTTTGGAACTGCAAGCAAGGTGGGCAGCGCTTTTCGAAGAAAAGGCTTTCTGACTATCCCATTTAAAACGAAATTCAGATACTGCTGACACACGCTGTATGAGTTTTGCTTCCACTAATGCTTGACTCTAACTGAACAACATCACACAAAGCGGCTAAACGAACCGAATATGCTATCGGATATGCTATATCCAATCTACGTTTTGCAACACCTGACGTGATGCCAATCGTTTTCGATGCCCTACAAGCGCTGCATCAGTTCAGGCTTTTCGCGAATACGATGACACTTTCTTGCTATGTGTTATTCAATAGTCAGTGCGGGCTACTGGAAACAATTCCATCACGGTGTGACTGCTAAGTGACTCTAACTGACCAACGCAGCAAAGGCAGCAAAGTCTATTACTGCAGATTCAAGCTGTGAATTACTTCTCTCATACTTGCTTTCTTGTTTTAACAGGCTCAAGAAATTCAGTGGTGGTTGGGTGATGACAATAATTTCGTCGCGTCTCTGCCGTGATGCGGTCAACATTGCATTCTATGATAACAAATATCTAATTCCTCCAGAGACAGATCTCGCTGTGTACTGTAACATCTCAAGCGACACGTTTACAGGGCCATTTATGCAAGCAACAGATCCATGGTAATTCATCCCTTCAGCACTCAATACATATTGCCTTATTTATCAGCATCGTGCTGGTTTTCAATGACGCTGGTGTCATGGAGCAGTCTTCTTTGTATGGCAGACAAAGGACTCTGAGTCTGTTGTCCGTCTG